CCTTTGGGCAGGATTCAGTGCCCCAGGCCATAGCAGAAATTGCCTGTGGATTTTAAAAAGGTTACAGTAAATGGACCTTAAAAAGTTTAAGTTCGGAAAAAGAAGTAAGAAATTAAGTAAATGTGTCAAATGCAACGTCCACTCATGAACACAAGACCAATGAAGCATATCATCTTATACCTGAGCACCTCCAGCTTTAAGGATGTGGGTCACACCTGCTTTCTTGGCACAATAAAGCACTTCCTACAAGAAATGCGTCCAAATAAATGGCCATTGATACTTAAACTTATACCAACAAAGTAAGATGGTAAACAAATACCTTGCAAATGCTGCCATCCCGAGAAGGTGGAGTTGCAAGCACAACAGTTTTACACCCAGCAATTTGTGCTGGCTGGCCAAAAGGAAAAACGATGATTTTGTACTCAGGGAATTAGCATTGGAAGGAATGATTAGTGAGAGCAAGAAATTAACATGGAAAATTGAATCACCATACAACTGAAAGCATCAGTGCTGTAGAAGGTAAAACAGCAGTTCCACCAGGAACATAAAGCCCTACAGAGGCAATGCTCCTAGCCACACGTTTACATCTGACACCCTGGCAAAGTAGGAAATATGAAAGTTAAATGAAGAAGTAAGAGTGCCAACACAATGCTGCTATACAAGCCCACACAACTGAGATCAATCCTATACAATATCCACAACCTACATGCATGTTCTCCACAACTTTCTCAACAGGCTTTTGAGCAGCATGAAAGGCATATATGTTGTTATATGCCACATCAAATGCTTCTCGAACAGCTGAATCAAGCTGAGTCAAAGGAAGAATTAGTCAGATTGGAAATAAGAAAAACTGAAGTCAATTTTCTTTCAAGAAACAAATTAAAGAAAAAGGAATAGGGAAGGGGACAAAAAATCCTAAACACAATTCAAACTACTCTTTTTAATCCCCATCGATCGCATCAATAAGAAAATTATGTATCTAAATACATACCTCAGGATCTGGAAGCTCATTGACATCTTCAACTATCCTATCCAGTACAACTTTGTCGAACCGTGACGTGTAACTGCCCAGGAAGTTATAGATATCACATCAAAGTAACATCAAGACAAAAAGATAGGTTAACTTTTCTACAGTGGTATCTTTTACTTTCGAATGGAACTATTAACTCTTAAAGAATGATAAGTGATGGATAAGGAACAATAAAGCTGAAGATTTTCGTAGGTTCTATAACTATTTAATCTAAACTTAGGGATATTATGACGGTTTGAAAGTTTGAACTTAGTTTGACCAGCAAACTAAAAAAATGGCAACTAAAGTTGATAAGAATCAATTACAGAAAGAGTAAAAACAAGCTGCAAAAGCACAGTAGCAACCTTCATCTTTGGTCGAAACTGAAATTATTAGCTTTAATTAATGAACGTATATTTTAAAAGTTGAAACACCAGGAAGTAGTTTGAAATGTTGGTCCAGGGTTTCCTAAGGGAACTAAAAAGGGAGAGAGGGAGAGGGAGAGAGAGAGAGAGAGAGAGAGAGAGTATTGATAATAGGCAATATAGAATCATTAAGTTTTGATATTTTATGTTTAGGCTTATAGTTGCAAAGACACAAAGGTCACTAAGTTGGATCTGCTAAATGGAACCTTGTCGCTTCTGTTCGCTTTTCGCTTTTAAGAGCAGTGGACCAGAGATTGAAATTTAAGCTCATCTTTATGTCAATTATTTAGATCATTTTGGTCCATCCAACAGGAATGAGGACACGCAACATAATTAACTACAACATAATAGAGATGTCCTTTACATCATTCATTAATATTATACAAATTGTTTATAGTTTGACAGTGCAGCACCTCCAGGTGGAGCATTTCTTTGGTATTTGCTGTGGATCAATAACACATGTTCGGCATTCTTTTTTTTTCCTCTCCTTAAACCATTAAAGGTAAACACGTGTTTTGCATTCTTATGGAAATTGAACCTGAAATTAAGGGGATTTTCACATAACAGATACAGGATAATATTTGTTGATGAAACAAACACAGTCACTAAGGGATAAATATAAAACAAGCACTAACTCTTTAACTGCAGCATCACCTCTATTACGAACATCATCAACAATGGGTTGAACCTGATACAATTAATTCAACATTCACAATAAGTCTACTAAATTGAACTGTAAATAAATAAGTAATTTGAAGGAAAAAATACAAAATCGGTTCAAGAAGCATTGTTAACTCACTGTGTTGAAAATGGAGAAGAAATCAATGCGTGGACGAGCTTTGAGGCTGTCAACCTCAGAAGTTGAAAGCTCTGATAACCTGTAGGACTTCATTGAGCACCTAATTGACTTACGAAATAACCCTGTCAATAACGATCAAAAACAACATGACACATTAATCCAACAGTAAAATCTCTATAAAGACACATTTAATTTAAAGTATAGCACTTTGTGATGGTTTTCACCAATAAGAACAACTACGAGCAATTGACAACAAAAAAATCATGTGTGAAATGCTACATAACAATTTCTTTAGTCTATTAACTTACTGCAAAAGAAGGAACTGCTGAAAGTAATACCTGCAGGCAGATAAGAACATTTCCGATATAATACAGTATTGCGTGTAGGAATGGCCCGAAGATTACTAGCCAAGCTACAGGACCTATTCAATGATAGAATTCTGCAGTCCATCTATATTCTGACAACAAACCAAAATTAGACTCTTCTCTCTAATAAATCAGTAATCTTGGTACATTAAAAGGTTATTCTTTTGTTAGACAATGTATTGAAATAAATTCAATATTAGAGTCTAGCTCTAATAAACAATAATATATGTAGAGTATTATCTTCTAATAGAGACAATGTGTTTACATTCACTCAAGTGCCCGTCTGGATAAAGCAGGTNATCTTTTGTTAGACATTGTATTAAAATAAATTCAATATTAGAGTCTAGCTCTAATAAACAATAATATATGTAGAATATTATCTTCTAATAGAGACAACGTGGTTACATTCACTCAAGTGCCCGTCTGGATAAAGCAGGTCGAATTTAATAAAATTTAGAATCCCCTTATAACACATGCTAAAATTCAACCTTTTTCGGGCGCTTATTCTCTTCTTTTTGGGTGAAGAGAAATGCTTAACAAAACTTCTAAGATAAAACTTGAAGAGGAAAAAAGAAAGAAAAAGTATGATTTTATAACATACAAATAAAAGACGTCGCCGGAGAAATAGATGGAGCGGAGCAGAGTCGCCGGTAGCGGCGGAGTGAGTGGACTTCGATACGAATTAAAATGGAAGAGGTCGGAGCTATATGTGGAGCTTGTACAAGGCGCTTGAAATGTTGCACTGTGAAATTAGGGGTCGGCTGATTAGTCAACAAGTTTACTTCTCGCAATTCATCCACTTAATTAGCTTTATTATTTAATTAACCCATTGTAAGTTTTCCTATTTTCATTTTAGTCCTTAGGCCCTTACTCGCCTCTTTGAGCTACAATATGTATTGAGCTTCACCCATTTCATAGACTTATGAATGAAAATCTTGTCTTTATTTTACTTTAGCTTCTTAGCTTAGCATGGCAGGTCTAAAGAAGGATAGGGGTTAAGTATGGGGTGCGGTGATTAGGCAGGACATGTCTTTGTTTCAGCTTACCGAAAATATCACCCTCGATAAGAAAGCATGGAGGAGGAGTATTAAGGTTGTAGGTTGACAGATAGTCACGAGTCTCTCCTAGACTTGTCAGTAAAACTAGTATTATTGTTGTATGGTTCGTTATTAGTACATATTGTGTTATTTGTTTTCATTACTCTATTATCTTGTTGTTGTTATTGTTTGTTGTTCTAGTTCATTGTTCTTGAGCCAAGGGTCTACCGGAAACAGCCTCTCTATCTTCGCAAGGTAAGACTAAAGTCTGCATTCACACTATCCTCCTCATACTTCATTTGTGGGATTACACTGGGTTTATTATTGTTGTTGTTTTTTCTTAGCTTAGCAGTAAAATTTCTTCCTTTCTTCTTCAATTCTCCGGCTTTTGTATCAGATTTTGTGGTGATGGTTCAGTCGCACTCTATAGGCCGAAGAAGAAGAAATTATACCAACTTGAAAATGGCGGACCGAAACTTATTTACCAAACTTTAAATAAGTTTCAAATATTATATAAAGTTCGATCCGCCATTCTCTTAACTTTTATTAAGTTTGTTTCATTTGGATACTTGAAATAAGGTTTGGTGAAATGCCTACTAAAGGAATTCAGGTTTAGCAAAATTGGGAACATGATTTTGTCGAGGAGGAGGCGAAAGGCGTTGGCCTTTGCAGGAATATTTTCTTAATTTTTTTTTATTTTTAAAAATAGTCCTTCCAGTTGTGTATTACCTATTTTAACTTTTAAGCCAAAATTAGCACAACTCTTCTCTTTCTTTGTCGCCTCCCTCCTAAATAGAAACCAATATTAGTTCTTCATTTTCAAGTATGCTAACTGCTGGTCGTCACTTCCATCATTCCCAACTTTAGGGCCATCATTAAGAATCAGAATAGCAAGTTCGAAGCAGCATAATGTAGCGTAACTCCAAAAATTTAAAAGAATTTTTTTACGCTAATAGTTAATTTAACATGTGCAACCAAATCAGTTACTTATAGATTGCTGTTATCAATCACTGTTGCTGCTACAATATTCAAGTTTTTTCAGATTAAACATACATGTATTAGTGCACATGAGTCAATTTGGAATTCATTCTCTACTTTTCTTTCTTTAACAAATCGAGTAAGAAAAGAACAATGTACGGTATAACAACATACAAATTAAAAAACAAATTTAATACAAATTTGATATATCTACGACAACATACATACTATAAACAAATTTCATACAACTAATTATGTAATATACAACTTATCTACTACTTTCATACATTATTTCTACTCAGTTAAATACAACTACAACTTAAATACAACTTTCATATAAATTTTATACAATATATCTTTTGTATATTTTTTTATCTGATTTGTATATATTTTGTATGTAGTGTGTTTTTCATCTCTGGAATTCCAATCAAAACCTCGTCTCTTAATAAAAATTTGATACATATCAACAACATTATGTAAAAAGATAGTATTGATAACTTAAATATAAATTTCATACAACGATTCGTACCTTATACAACTATTTTTTAACTTTCATATAACATTCAAATAAAAAAATATATATAATTGTAACATAATACAATTTGCATACAACTTTGATATAATTTTATAATTATTGCATGTCATGTATTCTTCTTATTCTCCAAATATCCTCAGATTTGAGATATGAGCTTCAAAGAATATTCCTAATTGTTTGCAACAACATCCAAATCCAAACAAATAATAGTTTTTGAGAACCTAAATTCGAATTCAAAGCTTCAAAACTTTTTAATGGTTTTCAATGGTGGAGAGTCAAACACCTTCAAAATTTATTGATTGATAGTTTCAATTTGAACACCAATTGTGCAACATGAAAGAAAGTTGCTAAGTTAAAATTCTATATTAAAATAATTAAAATTCATTGATGAATTCCCTGAAAAAAGGAGAGGATAAAAAACATAGAAAAATAAAGTTAGAAAATTTGGGGAAAGAACAGAGGAGGAGAGAGAGAGAGAGAGAGAGAGAGAGAGAGAGAGAGAGAGAGAGAGNAATTGTGCAACATGAAAGAAAGTTGCTAAGTTAAAATTCTATATTAAAATAATTAAAATTCATTGATGAATTCCCTGAAAAAAGGAGAGGATAAAAAACATAGAAAAATAAAGTTAGAAAATTTGGGGAAAGAACAGAGGAGGAGAGAGAGAGAGAGAGAGAGAGAGAGAGAGGGAGAGAGAGAGAGCAGGGATGGGAAATAATCGATTCCCTATTCAATTCCTAATATAAATGGATACTTATTAATACTAATTTGTATATAATTGGTAAATTGTATATGCCCGTATAATTAAATTAATACTTGATTAGGGAGGGTAATAAAATTTCATATGTAGCATAGGAAGGTAAAAATCCCTTGACGCCTTTGTGAAATCTACTCCTAAAATGTCAAAACAGGTTTGGGCTTTTGAATTTGAACATCACGGGGTCCAATAGTAAAATATTTTTGGGATCTTTCTACAAATAATCGATCATATTCATTGTTTACCTTTTCTAATCATATACATAGATTATACATAATTATACACATATAATACATAAATTATGCATACATTATACCTTCACGACTATTTATAATATTAAACGGTTGGGTAGGCGGCTATTTGAGTTAATTCCTCAATATTCTTTTTGGCAGATACCAGAAGCTTAGTAGGATTCATTGACAGAATCTTCGAAGAAAGCCCCAGTCCATTGAGCCCATTTATGGGCCAGACCTAGAAGAAGGACTCAAGGGCCACATGAAGAGGAAAATTATTTTACATAAATAGTAAGCCAAATTTACTGCTAATTTTTCAAATTGATATATATAGATTATATATGGTTATACACATTTTACGTATAGGATTATAGGTATGTTATATATCCTTTGGTTACTTTTAGTTTAAGGGACTCGGTGGAAGGTTATTTAGGTTAGTTCTTCAATTTTAAATATTATTTTCTTCTCCATTGTATTTTATTTCTGCGATATATCGTTCTCTTTATATAATTGATTTCAATTGATTGTGATTCCATTATTGTCTTTTGATCATGCCTTAATTATAAGAATATTTATTTATACTATGTATTATCTTTTCTTTAAACGTGACAATTAATATTCCAATAATTAGACTGGTTGTAGAAGATTTAATTCTTATTTTCTAAAAGGTTAAATATAAAAGACTAATATTTGAGAGGGAAAGGAGTATAAAATTAGATCCAAGTTGCTCGTTGGTCTTATTCTACACTTTAAAGCCACCTACGGAAAGTGTTACGCCTGGAGTAGTGGTTTAGCGCAAAGGAAAAGCTATACTATAAAAAAAGAATATAGAAGGAAACCAATCAACTCTTTTCTAAGTCAAGAATTGAACCGTGTGATCATTTTAAATTGTAACTCTTCACTTGTATTGAATTTATAAACTTTAAAGATATCACAACTTTAATTAATCCCCGAAAAGCTTAAGAGAGTAGATGGAATAATAGCACATCGTAATAACTCCTTGTTAGACTCCAAATATTTTAAATTTTAATTAAGAAACCTGATTAATTAATATCATTAATTAGATTGATTTAAAAGAGACAACTCTTGTGTAAAGAGAAACAAAGTCAAACAAGAATGTGTTAGTACTATTATCTTTTGGGTTAGAAACGACAGCACTCAAATCAGCTGGCTGGTTTGCATGCATATCTCAGTTCTTAGTCCTGCCTAATTATTCTTATAGTCAACATAAACTATTGTTTTCATGCTGATCTCTTTGATTGAGCTTTTATTTATTTTTTAATTTAAATTCCAACTATAATTTTTTTTTTGTTTTCCTTTAAGGCGGAGATAACATTTTCAGTAGACACGCAAAGAAAGTAAGATCTTGAATATCTAATATATAAAAATCATAAATAGTAAAGAGTAAACACACAAAAAAGTTATGAGATTCAATATCTCGTAAAAAAAATTACGATAGACATTGAGTTGGGGAGGAAGGAGGCGTTTACGGTGGTCCTGGGCAAATTTTAATCTTTAATTGTGAAAATATCAAAGAAATGGAACTATAAAAAATTTCAACTCTTTTAATTACGACTTTTGGACTTTGGATAACACCATTTAATACACCATCAAAAAATTTCAAACTTGAAATGATCCCCATATATCTATATGGATATCATTTCCTCTATGAGATCCTACTTATGCTCACATATTGTAGCTGCCACCTTAGCATATTAGGAGTATTTACCAGTGCTTTCTTTTTAATTTTTTTTTTTTTTATGTTTTGAGAAAATGGAGATTATTTCATCTAATTTAATTTCAGATTAAGCAAGGAGAGATTGCCAGTGATTTTTGTTTTTCAGCTTTTCGAATGATAGAAAAAACATGATTTCCGCTAAAATAAAAATCGACTGTCTCGACATATACAAGAGAAAGAGAAATGACATTGTTTCAGAACTTTATCGGACGATTTCGTTATTCAAGCGCCAGTTAATGTTGCATATGACTTTTCTTCATAGTGGAAATTACATGGGTTGATTAGTCCACACCTATTAGGTAAATGCTGAAGTATATTTTTCTACCAAAAAAATAAAAGAAGAATATTTCTAAAGAAGGTACAAGCGGCTTACATATTCATTGGTACAGTTTGTCCCTAATTAATAAACAATGAATTGTCGTTTCATAAATAATAGGAGTAACGTATAAATTGATAATAATAATACTTTAAGAGTTCTTTTTGTTTAAAAATAAAATATATATA